AATGTACTCAATTTACACTCATTTTTTTATTTTTAATGAGAAATGAATGATTATCGAATTACTCATTTTTAGTGAGCAAGGAAGATATTTTTATTGCATGACACATTTTTTCAATTTGAATTGGTTTTTTACCAGTAATCTGTTCTAATTAATTATTCGTTCACACTTTTTTGAGTTTAGGTCGCCTTTCCACCAAATTATCATTTTCCCACAATCAACCTCTACTAAAAATTAAAATTTTAAAACTCAAAATTCGCATGCAAATATGCTTTGAAGAATATTTATACACGAAAATTTTAAGAAATAAAAATTTTTATTCGGACCATTATTTAAGAAATTAGCGGCAAAAAAAACAAAAAACGCGAATGTTTTGAAAATTTGATATATTTTGAACGAGAAATTAAAAAAATATCAAACTTTACCAGAAAGGGATTTTTAATGGCTACTAAAAATATCGAAAAATAACAGAAATCGAAAATCAACATTTTTTAAACTGTCAAACTTGGTGTAAAATGCCCCATATAAAAAATCACGCCATCAACCCTACCCCTGATTATTTTTACTGATAAAATGGGTAATGTCTTTCGTTACACATTTTTGGAACCCTTAAATGCATAAGATTTTATTTTTGGACAAAATATAGATGAAACGTTTTAAAATGGCTAATATATACATAGGAAAAATAATAAAAAATCAAAATCGAATACAAAAATTTATTTTGAAAAAAAAAGAAAAAAACAATATGTAGTAAATTCCTTATCCTTCAGACCTTTTTGCTACTCATGCTGCTTATGCTTTAGTGCATATTGTTGATATACTACAATCAGTATTTAAAAAAAAAGACAATCACCAACTGTTTTTTCATCAATAATATTATTTACATAAAAGTACATAACTTACTCATATTTATATATATATATATATATATATATATATATATATATATATATATATATATATATTTATTCAGTAAAGAATTAAATAAAACTGTCATTCAAACGTAATTTATGGTCAAATAAAATCTTTTAGCAAATACTTCACTATGTTGCAGATATGTTAGACCATGCATTCGAGCCAATACAAGAAATACAGTATGTCTATTTATTCATTTAATTGTGTGTAATGTACGGTCTCTTATTACTCATTTTTTATTTTTTATTAAGTAATGTATTGTTCGACATTACTCATTAATTTTTTAATGTGTAATGAAAATATTTCTCATTTCATTTTTTTTAATGATTAATGAATTCAAATTATATTATATAATTATATTACCATTAAAAAAAATTAAGATTGCATTATTTTTTACATTAACATTTTTGCAACTCCCGCCACATGATCACCAAACATAACCGCCCAAAAGTTAATTTTCTGAGGATGTTGGGTATGACTTTGTCGCATACAGGGGGGGGTTTCTTTTGCCCAGTTTATGCAATTCTGCCTATTTACCTTGCCCTTTAGAAGAAGTGTTGATTTTTTAGAAAAAAGTATATCTGCAGAAGAAATAACATTCCTCTTTCACATATCCAGCATTTGCTCGCAAAATTGCAATCGTCTATCAATTTGATTTGATTTTTCAAGTCTTCTTAATTTTGTAGTCTGTTAATGTAGAACTTTAAATAAGGTAGGCCTAAAATAAATAATCAAGAGGGATCTGGCAGGCTCTATCGGTCCTCGACTGCCAATCCACCTCTCAGGAAAAAATGTGTTGAAAAAAGTAAGTACTTCCTGTTGAAACCAAATGGTATCACTTGGTAGATCGGTACCTCCATTCTCTTTAGAAAACATTTCTGCTAATGTGGGAAGAAGACAGTTTTACAAAAATTCCAAATACTTTTGTACGGTCATATTCTCGTAAAAGAAGAAAGGACCTATGATCGAATTTTCCACCATTCCTGCCCAGACATTAAATTTTTGGCCGTATTTGGAATTTGCCTCTACTACCCAATGAGGTTTTTCTCTACATCAGTACCTAAAATTTTCACAGTTGACTGTACCATTCAAACAGAAGGTAGCTTCGTCCGAAAAAAGTATTTTACGAGGAAAGTGTGGATTATTGTTACATAAATTCATCAAAGTTTTACAAAATTGTAGCCTACGATCCGGATCATCTTCGTTAAGTTCCTGCACTAGTCTATTTTTTTATAGATCATTAGAAGTTATGATGAGCGTTGGCTGACTTGACTTTCAGCTGCGACTAGGCTAGAAGCACTGTAAGGATCTTCTCTCACACGTAACCAAAATTTCAATTTTAGTGTCTTCACTAATACTCTGACGGCCAGGTTTTGGAATTTCTTTGACATTACCAGTCTCTCTGAATTTCCGTTCAATTTTACTAACCGTAGCATGAGGAATAGGTCGAGCTGGATATTTTGCATTAAATAAATTGCAAACTTTTTGTTGTGTTCTAATTTTATTTCCACATCCTATAAGAATTAAAACTTGTGTCCCTTAAATGTCCATATTTTAATACCGAAATATTTGGAGAACGCTTAAGAGTTTGTACATCAAGAAGTGAATATTTCTTTCATAAACACTTTTTAATTTTATTAAAAACCCCATTAAAAAACTTTTAATAAAAACTAGAAAACAATATTTAAAAAAATTGTACATCAAAATGTGCGTAATTGAAAAACAAAATCGACCTGTTAAAGAATTTTTTTGGCTTTTGCATATATAATTTTAACTAAAATCAAACATCTCTAAAAGTTTAAGAAAGTGCGAAAGGATCCGCAGAAAAAAACGATACAAAAACTTAACAGGATGAATATTGATATCGATAATTCATAGAAAAGAATATGGCTGAGGTATTGAATGGTTGCAGCGGTGTGGTAAGTAACAAGTCCTTTCGTCGGAATTTTGCCAAGATATGGAAATCGAGTTTCGCGTTAAATCGTATCCAATTTTCGCACACGCTTTTTCTCCTGTGCCGGGAAAAAACAACTGAAATACAACTGGAAAACGGGCGCTATGAAATATGACCACTGCTGCAATTTGTTCCGTTGCTTGTAACAAGAATAAAATTTGATGGCGTCAGGTTACTTTACTTTACTCCGCACATTCTAGACTGCTTTAAATGCAAAAGCAAAAAATAATAAAACACATTTTATTTTTATCTGCGCATCCACACATACGATCCTTCATTGTTCTGGCTGGTTAGTTTATATTCCAGGGCCACAATTTAACATTCAAACATTAACTTGTCGACATTAATTAATTACCTCAACATGGAATTCAGCGTTTTTAGCGATTGTGCGACTTTCCTTGCAAATTCTCTCCATTCGAAACATAATAAATCAACATAAACCGGGGCAAAACCGACCCCCAGACAGCGATGTAAACAACTTCTTTCCCAACGCGTAGCAACTTTAAAAACCTCTGCAAGATTAACAAATTATCATACAAGTTTTCGGAAAGTGTCGGAGATTATTGCCCCATAATATCAAATTACTCTTTCAGAGAAAAGAACAGCCCTGATTTCCACGTTTATAGTTGTAGTAGCCGTTGCCGTCATTGTTTTCTGGCGGGATGTTTTTTGCATGGCCACCGCCGCCAACAAGGCAACGTAAAACGAGCAAACAGCAGAAGAACGGGGAAACGTCCGACCGGGATCTCAATCAAGCCGCTTCGCGAGGTCGCTGGGAGAAAAACACGCGGTGTTTTGTGTTGTTTTATTTCCGGTGTTTGCGATCTTCGGCATTCGAAACGGATCGACCGAAAAGGAGAGAATTCGATAGAGAAAATGCGAAGCGTTCCACAGATTGCAACGTTAAATTTGCGGATGATTCCGGCTGATAGCGGTGCTCAGAGATTTAACAATGTGAATCAATAATTGGGAATAATTAGGCAATTTAATATGGTATGAAATTTATTAATCCGTAGTGTACATACGACAATATAATGGCTGTTAATGAGTACTAATTATTATCTTGGTCAATGTTACAACACAATGCAATTGTGCCCCAAAGAAACCTTAACTAATTTTAACGATATAAATAAAGATGATCAAGACGAAGATAATCCAGACGAAAAAAAATCAAAAAACGAAAATGACGATGATGATGAAGATACTGATGCATATGACGAGGATGAAGATAGCAACGGATCGAATAAGCCCGAGTCAGACGATGACAAATGAAGATCTAAAACAGAAACCTAACCAAAAAGAGTTCGAAAATTCATTAAAACTCTTCTCTGGTGATGACGACTACCCAAAAGAAGCATGGTTAGAGGATTTTGAAATAAACATACTCATAACAGAAAAACACGAAAAATTATTTAGGTTAAAAATAAATAATTCTTGGCAATATTTGACACAGGTTCTGATTTAAACCTCTTCAGAAACAGATTGGTTCTCCGAAGTTATATGAAACCCCAATAACATTATCTTGATTCGGAAACGCGGAAAATGAATTAAACGACTTGGTTATTTCGTAAGAGAAATTACAGTCGACGAAAAAGCTTTTGAGGTGAATGTTTTCGTAGTACCAAGGGATGTTATGATCTGGGAGTTGTGGGTACAACAAGTTTGCGTTTTTATTAACTGAACACCCCCTGATTGCATATTTACACTAATGTGCACTGCCAGAGCTTGGCTAGTGTTAAATGTATATTTAAGTGTAAAGTTAGATTAATGTGGAACACTACTATCATTCCATTGCACGGACAAAAAAATATATTTTAGAATTAAAAATAGTTTGATGTTCTACACTAACTTTTTCACTCTACAACTAAACACTAAAATATTTGTTTACTGTGTACGTTACCATATTTTTCAATCTACCATAAATAGTATCAAAAAAATCGATGCAAGACATCCAAACACCACCTAAACCCTTATAAATTCGAACCGAATCTCGAAAAAATAATTACGCTTCCTTAGTTCCTCTACACCGCATCACGTGTGAAAAACCAGTCGTCCCACGTCGCGCCCAATCGCGCGCACTCGTCCCTGCGTATCCTCAAAGCTCCGAAAGCTGCTGAACGCGCTCAGTCTGCAGCAAGCTGTGAATTGCGCGGCCAGCCTCGATCACCATTCGATGTGACAGCTCGTGCGTTTGATTGACGTTAACGCGAACATTGTTTGACAGATGTCAACGCTCGGGCAAAACCTAACGACATGTGCATGGTGGCTGTATTTTAGCACGACAATCATGTAGATAATATTCGTTTGCATTTATACGGGGTGTTGTGGTTCTACGAGGAGATTTATTCTGAGTGTTGTTATGAGATTTTGTTCTATTTTTTGACGAAATGGCTATGTACGGGGTGTTTTTTGTTTCTGTGCTGGTGGTGAGTGTTTTTTGTCTAACTGTAAGTGGGAATCCTTCGCCTATGAAAAGAAGTAAGTTAGCTGTTTATTATGAGTCAATTATGAAAAATAATGTAAAAATGGCGGATAAATATAAATAATAAAAATATTAAACACACCATCTGTATATTTTCTTCGAGCTTGCCTTAAAGCTATTATGAATTTTCTTTAATCAAATTTAGTTGAACAAATTTTTACAAACTTGTACCTTGAGGTTCTTCTCAGGCCCGTTCCTGGGGTGTCTGGCGCCTGCGTGCAGCATTCGTTGGTGCGCCCTTTTTATATTTAAATATAATACATTAAATATTTGAATTTTAGGCCGTAAAATTTAAAAAATAAATATTTTGCGACAAACTGGCAAAATGATATTGAAAATGTAAAAAAACGCTTAAATTAAGTATAAAAAATATTTATTAAATTACCAAACAAACAAGTAATATCATAAGGGCATCTATTTTTTCCAAAATAAATCGCTAAGTAATATTTTAACAAGAAGCATGAGTGCAACAAAAATCCAAATCGAACACGAGGATTTATGCACCTGCACGAATGCATTTTGTTAAAAAATATTACTTAGCATTGTGTTTTAACGATTTTTTTCACAGGAAAAGTTAGACGCCCGAATGGTATTTGACAAGACTATTTCATGAGTAGTTAACAATTAAAATATAAATTGCAATTTTTGGACAACAGCTGTCAAGTTTTGCCGCTGGTAAACTCGAAAAAACTGCTGACAGGTGCTGTCATACATTTTTTCCACCTATAGGTGCTACAAAATAATGGTTTCTATAGAAACCATTATTTTGTAGTTCAAAATTGAGCTTTGTGATTGGTGGAAATTAAGACGAGGGAAATAGTCAGTGATAAAAATACTCTAAAGAAAACAAAAAAAATCAATCTAAACAATATAATAACTACAACTGGTTTTTAGTGACATACTCTCTAAAAATGACTAGTTTTCAAAGTAAAAAAGCAGTCAATAATAAATTTAGTCCACAGCAATTTGTATCCCGGGCATTTAACAGCTTATTATTATGTAAAATTGTCCCCTGAATCCGAAAATTCCGTCAAAAATTATAAAAGTAAAGCAGTTTTTAAGATATAGTCAATACCATATTATATGAAAAATTTACTAAATCTCAAAAACGTTCAACTTTTGACGAAATTTTCGGATTCAGCGGACAATTTTACATAGGATTGACTGCTAAATATCCGGGATACAAATTGCTATTGAAAATAATTATTAGTCGCTGCTTTTTAGCTATTGCAATTAGACTAATTGAATTAGTCATTTTTGACTAATTCTATTTTAGAGAGTTACTACTGTTAAACTTTGCTACCGTCAACTGCAACTATCAAACATGACCATTTCTCTCCTTTTATTTTGATCCTCATAGGCTCATATCAAAACAAAATATGCAGCCAATATCAAAGCTGCGAAAGGCGTTTTATAGCGACCGAAAAAAAGAGCGGCTGACGCAAAAAAAGGCAGAAAATTATCCAATGTATGTTTAAGTATCATATGCAAGAAAGTTTATCGTAATAAGTACTGATTGACTCTTTGATTTTGCGCCCCCGAAATGTTGCGCCTGCGTGCGTGCACGCACTGCACGCTCGCCAGGAACGGGCCTGGTTCTTCTTAACATATTTCCTATAATACACACATACAAACGCAATATAAAATAACAAATAAGTTTACGTCTACGTAAAAGTTGGTGAAATTTAATGCATGGTTTCATAATAGTTTCCTGGCAGCTTGCTAGATAAGTGCAAGGATAATTATGTAGGTATAATGTATAGTAAAACTTATCGAAGCCTTGAGCTGAGTTTTAAAACCTTTGTTACTTGCCCTGGGGAGATCCTTTTTCATAAGCAAAATTATATAAATGTAGAATAAATTTTAATTTTAAATTTTTATTTTCAAGCAGCTTTTAATAGTATAAATAAATGAGCAATACGATTGGACGATTTGACACAACACATTCCAATCATTATCTTGTAAATAAACTCATTTATATATTTTAAACCAAATAACATCGATATAATTAAATTGCACTAGTAATAGCCTTTGCATGTTAATTTGATACAGATCGCTTTTAATCCATTGCCTATATTTTCAAATCGATGTTTAGGTTTTATAACTATATATTTATATGAAACTCTATAACACATACAGAGTGTAAAAATATGACACATTGTCTATTCTCTAATAATTGTATGGTCATTGTTGACGCAGTAGTACAAAAAAATCCCTTTATTTCGATCGAGGAACTTTTTGGCTGTAGTAAATCCCACTTCTGATATTGGCTTTAAATTATAAAATTTGTCTAAATCAAACGCTATTAAAGTTATCTTTATAAACTTGTTGTTTAAGTTTGCCCCAAAAGTAAAAATCCATAATTGTTAAACTTCAACTATCAGAAAGTTCAAGTGTTTATTGATTGTTTATTTTTAAGTTTAGGGTAGTTATGCTATAATATTTTTTGTTTCAAATTAAATTGTCTTTTAAAATATGTAAAAATACACAGGGTGTGCCTTTTAGAAAAATATATTTTTCTGAATATTTTTTAAACCCGACGTTCAATTGTTTTTCTGTCTTCACTATTTAAATCAGAAAAAAATGCCACCAATTTGGCAATCTTACCAAATGTGGTGGTTTTTGTAAAGTATATCGAAAATATTGTTTGGGGTGACAAAAAAAAATTTTGGTGAAAGTTTGAGTCCATAATATTAATATTAAGAGGTCTATCATCGCAATTTTAGGTTTATTTTTCCTGAGCGAGTTTTTGTCTCAGAACTCCCAAATCATTGAGTTTAACAAAATTGACTTAAAAATATTTTTTGAAGAAAATTGAATGCTCTACAAAAAAGGTTTGAATGTAATTTCCCGTCAGATTAACCGTTTTCTTACAATCATGCCTTAAAAATTGGTATAGTTTTACAATTTGATCTTTTAACTTTGGAATTTTGTAATTCATGTAAAAATCAGTACCCTGAAAAAAACTGATAAATATTCTTATGGGAAATCAAATGCTCTACAAAAAAAGTCTTTTATCATTTTTGGCTAAATTTACTTTATCAAAAGTTATTCAAGGTTAAATTTGAAGTCAAAACGAAATTTTAACCTCGAATAACTTTTGATTGAGTGAATTTAGCCAAAAATGTTGAGAGGCTTTTTTTGTAAAGCATTTGATTTCCCATAAGAATAAATATCGGTTTTTTATGGGTACTGATTTTTACATGAATTACAAAATTCCAATTTAAAAGATCAAAATGTAAAACTATACCAATTTTTAAGGCAGGATTTTAAGGAAACGGTTCATCTGACGGAAAATTTCACTTTAACCTTTTTTGTAGAGCATTTAATTTTCTTAAAAAAATATTTTCGAGTCAATTTTGTTAAACTCAATGGTTTGGGAGCTCTGAGACAAAAACTTGCTGAGGAAAAAAAAATTAAAATTGCGATGATAGACCTCTTAATATTAATATAATGGACTCAAACTTTTACAATAATTTTTTTTTGTCACCCCAAACCATATTTTCGATATACTTTTCAAAAAAAAAAAGAGTTAATTTTTTTGGCCCAGTCTACGGTGTATATATATGGGTCATTCCATGGAAAAAATATTTGATGCACCAGGCAAAAATGTCAGTAACCTAGTGAAAGATTTTGGGGAATTTGGTTCAGAGTGCAACAGAAAACACACAAGATCAAGTGTAGGTACTGGATGAAGCTGCATAAATTGAAGTTCTCGTTTATTTTGCTGTGGGATCCACATCCATTCGAAAAGTTTTAACAAATATTTCTGTTGGTTTTGTTCATAAGGTGCTAAAAATAAATATGTTTTCCCTTTTAAAATTAAAATCTGCCAGCAACTCATCGAAGATTTCTACGACAGAAGTATCCAGTTTTGTGAGGAAATGACCCAAATTTATTAAAAAATATTTGTTTCAACGATCAATTTTTTTAAATGTATTTGTAAATAAGCACAATTGTTGGTACTGGGACAATGAAAATCCACTTGTTTTTCGAGAGGATCATGCTCAGTATCCTCAAAAATGTATGGGCTGGTAGGTATTCTTTGACATGAAATAATTGAACGGATTTTTATTGAAAAAAACTTGACTGGACAATTATATCTTGTTCTTTTTGAAAATATTATGGACCTACTTATTACCCAGTCAATAGAAAATCAGATGGAAGAACAAGGAAACATTTTGCTTCATGAAGGACATTTGTACTTTCATCAAGATGGAGCTCCTCCTCACTAAGCTTTACCACTCAGATAATGGTTGAACCAAAGGTATTTTGAGAAACGAATTGGTAGAAGAGGTGCTCAAGAATAGCCGACAAGAACTTCAGATTTAACGCCACTTGATTTTTATCTTTCGGGTCATTTAAAAACACACCCTGAGAACAATGAAAAACTCAAACAAATAATAATTTAAGAATGTAGGCAGATAACAACTGAAACGTTTCAAAAAATTCGACAAGAGTTAGAGAATAGATTGTATTATTGTTTATCAAATAACGGAGCACATTTTGAACATAATAATTTTCTTATGGAAAATATATTATTAAAATATAAATACATTACTGATTCATAATGCAGTTTTTGGGGTTTGCTTTTAGAGGACTCATATACTTTATACAATTTACCTCGTTCGGGTACATTTCAAAAACGGCTGGACAATTAATAAACCCTTCTAAAAAATGAAACGAATAAATCAATGTGCGAGATTTGTTAGTGAAAAACCCGGTTTTTGATTAAAATTGTACGTAATTGTTGATTTCCAAATAATTTGCTTTTGGGTGCAAATAAAGCGAAATTAAAACTAGAATTTGATGAAGTGTTTATAAACTCTGTGTAAAATTTGATTTTTTTTTCAACAAAATTTCTTTATTGGAAAAAAACCTATAAACTTAACACATTGTAAATAATTATTATTAAAACCAGCATATGATAAAATTATAGTTTATGCACGATGACATTATAATATGACAATTATAACAAAAATTCTTTGACGTAAAC